GGCCTAGCATCTACACTCTTGCCAGACTCTGACGACCCATAGGGTTTTGATCCTCTTCTCTGATTCCTAAAATATTGGCTCAGCTGCTTTTGTGTCGACACCTAGAGGAAATAAACAAAGATTTATCATGTTTCAAAAGTCCAGGAAGGGACAAGCCAAGCACTTGAAACAAAAGAAATATAAACCACTGAACGTCACTTTTTTCAACAGTGTAGTATTTGAATGGTAACTTTTTCTTGAGATTACTTCTCCCTAACCAAAAATCTAACACCTTGGGAACCACCAAATTTTACACCACAAAAATAGGCATGTACTAAAATGATCAAATCATACAAATAATATAATTATTATGATTGACATCTATAGACCAGTACACATCCTAAATTCAGGATAACAAAATAATGTACAGCAAACATACCCAGTAGCTTGATGGATTGGAATCTCTCAGCTCAGGAAATTTGTCACAGATTGCAAGAGCCATTCTCTTGTAGTCTCCCTGGACTGGGTGTTTGCTCAAAGCATAATAAAATGAGCCGAGGTCAGCAATGAGCTGCCTCCTAACTGACAGCACATTATCAGCAGTAATGGCTTCCTCAACTCTGATGGAAAACCTGTCTGGAAAGGGCAGGTGGTCGGGCAGCCTTGTTTTTGCAACTGTAGGAAAACTGCCTTCAGGTTCCTCTTGAGGAAATAAAGCCTTGCGCTTTGAGCATGAATTTGTGGTCGTCTTTAATGTGGTAGAATGAGCAAGTGGCTGGCTGGGTTCAGTACTGTTTGAGTGGATGAGCTTTGGACTTGGTGTATGTAGAGGAAGACTTGGCTCAATGTTGCTTGTACTAACACTGTTTGGTGTACTGGACTGGACAGGTTTTGGGCTTGGTGTCCATACTGGAGGGCTTGGCTCAATGCTGCTACATGAATCCAGCAAGTCAACCATACTAACATCACTTGGGCCAGAGAACATCCCCAAGGATGGATATTCTCCCACTAACTCAACAAGGCTTGACTCTACGCTGGGCTAGAAGATAAAAAAAACAAAAAACAAAAGAAAATTATTTCAGACCAAAGCAAAGTAATGCTTAAAACAGAGCATCAATGAGAGAAATTTCCAATGATACATATACAGCTATACAGCCAAAAAAACTTAAAAGGAGCCTGAACTACTCCAGGGCTGGACAAATCATTACTTCACAAGACTGGTTACAGTCAAAATACTCAGCACGTGCTGCCTATTATTTGAGAATAGTTTTGATTAACTGCAAACAGAATGCATTATTTGTTTCAAACTTTCAAATTTAATTTGAATATTGTAATCATGCAACTGTAGCCCGAGTGTGACCTCATTTGAAGCATCAATTGTTGATTGGTTTTGGTTGAAGACTTCATGACATGTTCACGTGCAAAGTTTGGTGCCATCGAGTCTTCTTCATTAATTTTGTCTGTCGCTTTTTAAGTCATTTCACGTGGTTTTCGTTGAATTTTTTGTGATCAAGAGAAGCCTAAGCTCTTGTTGAAAAAAGTTGAAGAATTTTTGGAACAGATATTCAGATCTGGAAAGCTGCAAATAGCCACCGAAAGGCCTTCTTTCAGCAAAGGGCGGTAGCTTTTCTTGTCACAGGTTTTTAACAGTTTGATTCTAGGGCCGCTTTTGGACATGAACACCGCATGAAGTGTTCAAGCAATGTGGGAAATACACCAATCAACAATCTATATATTTCAAATGTGGTCACACTCAGGCTAGGATTGGATGATTTCAATATCCAAATTAAATTTGAAAGTTTGAAACGAATAATGCACTCCGTTCACAATTAATCAAAACTATTCTTGAATAACAGGTGGCACGCACTGAGTATTTTGACTGTACGTGTAATGTTGTGCTGGATCTCATTGTCCATTTAATATAAAGCAAATTACGTTGGATCATAATGAGTAATTCCAGAAAATATCCATACTCTACCATGGGTGATATTATTGCTTTAACCCCCCCACAACCATAGCCTATACAAGGTATACCAAGTGTACCTCCAAGGATATTGTGCAAGCAAAATGTATCACAATGATTACAGTAGTTTAGTTCGACCATGACAAAGAGTTATTGGTGATCTTTGTAAATCACATCACATTTTCACATTCTGTACTCCTGCAGCCCTTAAAGCTTCAAAGGCGTACATGTAGTTTGTCTGGGTACTGAGACCTCAGTTACACAGGTGTGTAATAAATTTATCTCCTCTGTATCCCCTTGGTTACAAAACCTTGCAACCATCCCAGAATATCTGGTTTACCTTTTTTGAGATGATAGCTGAAGCACTTTAAAATGATAGCCATGACACTTTGATTAGCTGGCACCATTTTGTTGGAAATACCATACTGTAGTCATAGATCAAACGGTTTTGTTGGGAACATCATAGTAGAGGGTTAATCATCTGAATCATAGAAGATGACCTTGAAAACCACCTTTTTGAAACAACATTGTTGTATTTTGGCATAAAGAGTGTGTAGTAAATTAGGTCCATTTTCATCATGATGTTGCCTACAAGCAAAGAAATCAGGTTGAAAAACTAACTACAAGTAAGGAGGCAGGGTGGCCGAACGGTTAGAGCGCTGGTCTTACAATACAAGGCCTCGGGTTCAAGTCCCGCTCTGGTTTAGTCACTCTTATAAATAGCAAACTGGTATGCCTCCTGCCAGTTGGGATCACCGGGACCCCAGACAAACTGTTTGTTTAACCCTTTTTTATTTTATGGCAATGTATGGGAGTTACCGTATTTTTCATGCTCTAGCGACAAATCGCTAAATATATGTATTGAACACCGCTAAATAAAAGTTTGAATGCCTTAGCTGTGGTGTACTGTCATCCTTTTGCCTCAGTAGTGATATTTTAAGCGATTTGTTGGGTTTTGTCTTTGCCATTGACTGTGCCTCATAAGAAACAGAAAGGGAGCAAAGATATTTGAACGGCTCCAGCACTGAGCCAGCGCCAAGGAGATTTTCCTCAGAAAATTGCATTGCTCACCTACGTTTTACAAGCAATCAAAATGTGTAGCAAGATTTTCATGTGCCAGCCACAAACCATCCTGCTGATTGCCTCTGAGGCAGAAGGACTACAGTACACCACAGGTAAGGCATTCTAACTTTTATTTAGCTGTGTTCAATACGTATATTTAGCAATTCGTCGCTAGAGCATGAAATTTACAGTAAATCCCATACACTGCTATAAAATAGCAAAGGGTTACACAAACAGTTTGTCTGGGATCCCTGTGCTGGGATTCGTAACCTGCTGTGTTTAATATTTGAATTATTTGTTTCGTGTATTTGCTCGGCCCCACTAGCCCTTGTGTGCTATAAATACTGCTGAGGGTAAATAACGGTCATTTATTAACTTTACAACAGCTAGCTTGTCTTACATGTAGGCCATAAAATGTGTAACACCGCTTTGGACGTTTTTACTTCATACTTCAAGGTAACAAAGACTTCATCATGACAAAAGATCAACTTCTCCTTTTCTGACTAGTGAGAAAAAGCCAGGAAATGGCCTCATTACTTTTCAGACAAGGATATATCCAAAAAAGCGATATAATAACGGAATGGTTTGGGACATTTGACACCGTTGAGATGACACAACTCTTAAGACAAGCTTAAATTACAAGCTTACTTGTGCTTCTGTTGTCTCTAACTCTTTGATTATCCGCTTTATGAGAAGTCGATGTCCGGACTTTGGAACAACCGCCATAAATTCATCTACATCATCTCTCAGCAAAAGAAGGGTGGATCCATCAATGCCATTATCTAAAAGAGAAAATGTTTCAGCTAACTACTCGATTCTTGATATGATGGAAAGGATCGATTTGGCCTTGAACATTTCAGATCAACGAGCAATACACACCTCTCAGCAGGTCAAGGGCTTCTTGCGGCACATTCCTTGCTTTTAAAAGAGCAAGAAGTTTCTCCGTGGTGAAACTTGTGAGCGCCATTTATGTTTTGAAGCTGGATTTGACGTTGGAACTCGTGTTGAAGTGGAAATGAATGTAAACCTCGCGAAAATTTGAAAGATGGCGCGTCTTTCTCGCCTCGGGAGAAAAGGACGCCAAGCGTAGTATTCTCGGCTACGATTGGTTAAGAAGGATCATGTGACTATTCGAGGACCTGGGATCGAGGTTCGGATGCCGGACGTCTCTGAGACTCAATCGACTCAATGTTGAGCAAATGGCTACCGAACAGCGGCGGCTATCGTGCGAGTACTGTAACTACAGCTGTCCTGTAAATGAAAGCGATCATTTTTTTAAACACTTAATCAAGTTCCACTCTAACGAACCTAACTTTCTGGTTTATTGTTCCAATTGTGGAAGGTCTTTTTCCAAAGCCAATAGTCTCCAAAGACATTACAACCGCGAACACGTGCACAAAGAAGTTGCTGATCGTGCACCTGCGGATGAAGTCGACCCTGGCATTGACTATGTCCAGGAAGAAAGTGCAGAGGAAGACTTTGACGAGGTTACAGCACGCTCAGATTTACAGCGCCATGCTGCAAAGTTTCTGCTACGTACCAAGGAAGATGGCAAGATAACGCAAACAGCATTGGACATGGTAAAGGATTCCACCAAAGCACTCCTTGGGGAATACCTAGATGTGGTTAAGAAATCATTGATGGCAAAACTGAAAGACAGCATAGGCCATGACTTTGAGTTTTCCCAGGACATGGATGATCTATTTGTGGCAGATGATGTGTTTTCTGGACTAGACTCTGAACGAGAACAGAGATCATTTTTCTTGGAAAACTTCAACTTAGTGGTAAGCTTATAATTAATTAAAAAAGAATGACATAAAACTTTAGCCAAATACATAAGCTTAAATAGAGGACTTAAGTTGTATTTTGCTTGTGGTGAAATTTTTCCATAAATTCAAACTTTTGTGGGGAATTTTAGCAACTCGACGACCTCTAACGTAAAAGGTCCATCTTCGCCCAAACTACAATACTGGACTGCTTCTGTTTTTGAATCAGTTCAGTTGTTAAAGGGGCTATGTCGCAAAATGGAGCAGCATTGGGACCCGGGGGGGGACTCCCATATGAAACAGACGGGGATGCTCGTCGTCTCGCTTAGGGGTGTAAATTTTGGATTTTGGTCTCGCTTAGGGTGTTCCGGGCAAAGCGCCAATATTTTAAGCCGCCAAGGTCTCGTTTAGGGTTCCGCTAAGAACTTGAGATTTATGACAATGCTTTTAAAAACTACCGTACTTTTAGATAAAAGCATTCGGCGATTATGTCTTTATATCATTAAAACTCATTGCATGTCGTATTTGTGTGTTTTTAAGCGGTCTCTTTTAGGGGCCAAAATTTGCATTATATTTACATATAATGCTCATTCAGTTAAGGATAACATGTGTTGCCCTGCAAGGACTTTTGCCCTCTGTAACTTAAACCACTACTGGAATACACGACACTGTACACAAATTCAGTTTCCAGGGCGCCCAGCATAATACTGGTAATTTTGTGCAGATGCTAAGATGTCCTTGTTGCCCAAAGACAAAAGCAAGTCACAGGGGGCCACTGAGTGCTGCAGAGAACAGCCCTGTAAATACAGCATTTTAATGAAGGCAAAACTCAAGATACGAATAATTGTTTAAAACAACCTCAGTGCCGGAAGTGGATCCTCTTTGCTACTCCCCACTCATCCAGCATTTTCTACCTTATTTGGATGCCTATCTTCGTGAATTCTTAGACATAAGTTATGGCAAATATTTTAATTTTCCTCTTTCAATACTTGTAATTCAGGAACCATTAAGGGTGTTTCTTGGAAAGCGATGGAAGTATATCATGTCAAAAGGAAGGAAGAAGCTGAAGAGAATCTCGGACTATGGTTACCATGTTCCATTATTGAAGAGTTTGGAGGTACATATAATGCCTTAGCGTGGTCTACAATGGACTAATCATTTTTGTTATGTGATTGTTATTGAAAAAAATGAGTCAGCCACTGGCATTAATGCCCTTGTCATGGATTATAAACTCCAGTTTGGCTTTATGTACAGAAACATTGTCTCCAGGGTTGATTGTTAGAGTCTTAGACACTTAAACCTCACTCTTTTTCTCTTGTCTGTCATTTCTTTTCCTTATTTGGTGTCTGAATAGCATTATCAGGCCTTCTTTGATTGAACAAATTGGTATTTAAGTCACTTCTTTTTATTTCAGGCACTTTTGCAGAACCCTGATGTTCTTCACGAGGTTGATAACCCACATCACTCAAATGATGATGTCTTGCGTGATGTTTTGGATGGTGAATTTGTACAGAACCATCCAATTTTTGCTGTCCAGAAAGATGCCCTTATCATTTTAGGATACTTTGATGACCTAGAGATTGCCAATCCTCTTGGCTCAAAGGCTAAAGTACACAAAATTGGTAAGTAAGTAGTTCATGGTGAGTCTTCAGTGTTCTTTTTTTGGTGTGTAGGTATAGACATGATGGTAGGGGTTACATTCCATTAACATGTAAATGTTTGTATTTGCAGGAGTGTTTTATTATGTACTTGCAAACATCCATCCCATGTACCGCTCCACTCTCAGAAATATCCAGCTTATTGGTATTGCAAAGACACAGGACTTGAAGAGGCATGGCATTGACAAAATGTTGTTACCATTCACGCAAGAACTCAATGAACTTGCCAAGGTGTGAACAGAATCTTATATAAATTGTAGGCACATTCCTGTACTGCTAGTAAAATTTAAACCAAGTAATAAAAAACTCCAGTCAGTTTTAGTGCAAAATAAAACTTACGGTGCATTTAGTAAATAATTCCCTTTCGGCAGCTGGTATATCTGAGGATAATGTCTGCGGCTGATAGATTGCCCTAGAAATGAACAGTTCATTTCAAGGGCAACTGTGAAATTTTGAGGACAATTTATCAGCCTAGGACATTATCCTCTGACATACTAGCAAGTCATAAAGGGGTTTATTATTTCATAACCCTCCGATTAATTTTCATATCGTGATACACAGTTGAAAGTTGAAAATGTTGAAAACAAAAGTGATCTGATGACGATTCCAAATGACATTTAGTTAATTTTATTGAAATTATGATTGGATTCTTCTGTTTGAAATTGAAGAAATTTTGAAAAGACTGGCTTTGTGATCCAAAATAGCCAATAAAATCACACAAAAATTAATTGGTGGGTTATAAAATATCATACATCTAAACTTATTGCTTGCATGGTGACTTTCTTCCCACGTAAAAAGGAACAAGGACATTGCTTTAAGATTCATGGACAAGAGAGGTACTTACGAGGAGGCCTTCTACTATGGACTGGTGATACACTGGGTAGCAATTGTGTCAGCTGTTTCAAAGAAGGTGTTGGTGGAGCCCTTAGAATATGCAGACACTGCATGGGAACAAAGGAAGAAACTGGAAGAAAGGTAATTTCTTTTTGTCTCCTTATAATAATGAAACCAAACAAAAGAAATTTCAAATCAAACTTGGTTCAAATAATTTTAACCTGAACTTGACATTTTAATTGCAACTGATCATGAATGCTGTACATACTGTATGTAAATTCTAAGCTCTCAGAGAACTGATGACTTGTTTTATGTTATTTCAGGATTGCACTGTTGCCTCATGATATGATGTTTTTTTTCCAGTTTCGAGCAGAAGAATTTCAAGCAAGAAACCTGACCGATCACTTGCGAATCTGTGGAATGATTGAGGATCCAGACAATGCACCCCATGTTCGTGATGCCCTTTGAACTACATATAGAGTTAATGGGCTCAGTGTGATGAACAGGGTTGCCAACTTCGATGTGTGCCAGTGTTTTCCTGAAGACATCATGCACATTCTCTTTGAGGGAGTTGTGCCTTATGAGACCAAGCGTTTTTTGAAGGTGCTGATTGATGAAAAACGAAGCTTGACCCTTAAAGAGCTAAACCACCGAATGGAAAGCTTCAATTATGGCTATATGCACAACAAGGACAAACCAACACCTATTGCCAGGGAGACACTGAATGCTTTGGAGGATGCTAAATTAAAACAGAGTGGTTAGTTTCTTTCAATTATTTAATAATCATACTTAACATGTTTTTCATTACACAAGAGAAGCAGTGCTCAATACCGAGTAGATAGATAGATAGATAGATAGCATTTTTCCGCAAAAAACTAGCGAGAGACAGAGTTGTAAAGGAACAACAAAGCGACACCAGACCACCCTTTGGAAGACCTCTATGAAACTAGTATCTCTACAATATTTACTTTAGTAAGAATAGTACAATCAGCTGTATACAAAGTCACTATTTCTATGTCACACAGTTGAGGTGGAGATAGCATCAAATTTAAAATCTGTAAAATAATCTTCCGTTATGACATTAATGCAATGACTCCAGTCTTTGCTCCTCAGAAGCGAAGTCAGTTTAAACGACCACCTGCTTAATTGATTTGGCATAGTTATTCTTTTTATACTTCTAAAATTTATTAACTAGAAAAGGGGCTTGCAGGGCAATAGTTGTCATTGATGCAGACATGAATTTTCAGTATTTTTTTTTCTTTTGAATGTTACAGCATCCCAGATGTGGTGTCTTTTTCGCTTTCTCCCTATATTAATTGGGGACAAAGTTGACGTGGAGATGGAGGAGTGGCATTGCCTTCGGACTTTGTGGAATATTGTCCAACTCTGTACTGCTCCAGCCATCAGAAAAGATGACGTTCCGTACTTGCGGGTTCTCATAGAGGAACACCATACCCTCTTCAAAAGACTCTACCCTGAAGCCTCGATCATACCCAAAATGCACTATGTTATCCACATTCCAGATGACATAGCCAGGTGATTATGAATTCATTATTAGCTTCCTATTTGTCTCCTGCAGTGTAGTAAGCATTAATTTCACCTTATAATTAAGTGTCAATTAAATCTTACTTGTTTTTCTTGTTCTTAAGAGCACTTAATGTGTTCCTTAATTCCTATTTGCTCATACAGCGCTCAACAATATTTGTATTCACTCAATCAACATATTTACTATTCCCTCAGTAAACTTTACACTTTTTAACATAGGTTTGGACCAGCACGGAACATTTGGACCATGCGATTTGAGGCCAAGCACACTTTTTTCAAGGGAGTGATTTCTAAGAATTTTAAAAATGTTCCAAGAACTCTGTCATTTCGTCACCAAAGGTAAATGTATTAGTTTTTTCTGAAATACACTAGAGTGTTACTGGTCATATACCATGGCAGAATTTTCATTGAACTATGGCACCAAGAACTTAAATACATTTTCAGGACCTTAAGGACTTGACAAACACTATTTTTACATTTATACATTTTTTGGAAGGGAGGAGAGGCTTCTGAAATGAAACTGGATGTTTTCTTTATCCCTGAGGAAAAATGGGGACTAGTCGTAGTCTAGACAAAAGTGACAGCTTGAAATTTGAATTATTAGGGGATTGTTAACGTATCCTTGTGTTTTGATTGTTTTATTCAGGAACATGTGCTGGAACCTTTTGACATCAACTGGACATACAACCTCCAAATATCTGTATGCAGGAGATGTTGTTGGTCCAGGTGAGTGGATCCCATTACCACAGGTTTTCAGAATTAGATGATTCAATTCTAATATTGTAATATTAATATCAAATTGTAAACAGAAGGTTAAATGTTTGCTGTTTACTATTAAATAGTAAATTTTATAGGTGACTATGGCATTGATCTAAAACAGCATCCCCAGGCTCAGCTAATAAGTGATGCTGCAGGGTTGGGTGATGTCCCTGAGAGATTTGTGGGAAGCAGGTAAGTTTGTGTTTCACCTGCAAATCCTCTTTCTGTCTATGTTCCAAACACTCTTGATTTACCTTGATTTATACTTTGACTGATATTGTGACAGATGTTAATTGCCGTCTTTTAATGTTCAGGGTAAAGCGCGTTGGGATTCATGGTATTGAGTACAGACCTGGATGTGTCTTGAGGCTACGCGAAATGGATGATGTGGAGAATGACTATCCTGTATATGGACAAGTAGATGAGATCATCGT